TTTTTTTGTATTTCCAATTTTCCATGTATTCCCCAACTCAGTTATCCCAGGACCATACTAGGATGTTTATCTAGATTAGCATCCACAGAAAACTTAATTGACAATGGATAAACAAGTAAGTGTAATATGTTAACTGTCTTAAACGAAAGCATCAGTTTAAATGTAAAAGAAAGCATAATTGATGCATATGGCGTTGATTTTAGTGCCGGAAGCCACTCTGTATTTTAGACATGCTAAGCATAAACAAAATTTATTTCTAACAACAGAAGGTAAGTTGTTCCATATAGATATACTTATAAGTAACATATGGACGATAATATGCTCCAGATTATGAAACTAGCCAACAAGTAGTTTCATATTCAGAACTGAATACGGAAATATACCTGGCATGACATACTTCCCAGTGGCGTCAATAATTTTAACATCATCTCCAACCTACACATCCACACGTCAAAAAATATATATAAAAAATCAGGCTCAATATTTATCATTATTTCATTTGACTGACAAATCTTTACACCCCAGTGCCCATGGTCATTGACCAGTGTGCACAGTGATTAGAAACAGCACTACCACGGACGATCAATGTAAAAGCATTCAACTAAAACAAGATAACAATCACATTGTCAAATGTATAGCCCAGAGCAACTTCTCGAATAAAGGAAACTTTCAGAGAAGATGTTTAGTCAGTCTTCCTCATGTTTCACGCTAAAGCAATAATCTCATTCACACATGTCCTCTGCATCTCGTTTACGAGATTTCAACTTACGCTGCCAACCAAAGATGGAATCAGGAAGTATATGTCAAAGAGTGAGTGTTTGTGTGTGTTGTGTGAAAATTTTAATTCGCCGTTTCAACTTCTATTTCGACCTTCTTCAATTTCCGCACATGCAGTCATCCAGCTCACTAGTGAGAAGGATGTAGTGAAGCAATTTTTTTCAAACTACAAATCATATCATCCAACAACTTTAATGCACCAATTTACCACAATATTGTTCTGTACTGCGACGATTATTCCATCTTCTATGTACACATCGGCGATTTCTTGATGATGGGCATTCACAACAGTACCTCCCTTTATCAAAATCTTTGAAGGGTAAGCTGGAACAGCACCACATGCCGACTCGCCATATGCAATCCCAGCATCACAAAACTACACACTTAAAAGTAGCACTATCAAAACCAAATTGGTAGCCATAAGCATCCATTTCAATTCATGAAATAGGGAAAACGTCGAAAAAAAGGAACTAATGATATTTATATGCAAACCCATGGGTATTCTCCAGAACCCTTATAACGTAAGAGAATAAACAGACCGAGAGGTTGATAGGACCTTGCGAGAGAACGAAAATAAAATCCTAGGAACTTATGGGAGTTAGTTGTTAATCTTGAGACCGAGAAGAGATAGATAACAATTGATATCTACGATTTAACTTGTTCGAGAGAAAGGTTGAAATCAATTAAGCGATTATCTCTACAATTGGTAAAAATTAAATAAGGATTGTATGAATATAAACGTTTCATTAATTAATTCCGAGGAACGCTTAGCCTAGAATCTATCGTTTGTATCTTGTTTTATTTTTCTTTTATTAGGTAAATTAGTTCTTAGTTTAATTTATTAGTTAATACTCATCATCAAGTTCATTATTATAGATAATATTTAATCGTCGCTATTTTATTACTTAATTAATTTAACTACAATCTATGTGGAATACGACATTGCTCGCCATTACCTATAGCTACGCCGTACACTTGCGGATAGCGAAAATAATTAGAGAAAACTAATCATGGACAGTTGAACAACAAAAGAATAAAGATCAGGAAAAAAAACAGTCAACGGTATGATTGTATGCATCAATAGAACATCTTCAGCACAATATAATGTCGAAAGATAATATAAACAGATAACAAAAAAAAAACCCTTTTCGAAATTGTTTATGCTAAAATAGCGTAAGACATTAAAAATCAAAATCATTCACTTCCATAGACATTCAAGAATTCATCCACAACAGAGAAGATAATAAACCTGGTTGCACTCGGAGAGCGGCGAGAACAGTGAAAGGAAGATGATGGTGAGATATAAACAACAATTCCTGGGAGCAAAACAAAAATCCATCTTTTCGCCTTGTTAGATAGTTTTTAGGTGTGATGAAGAGAGGGGCTGAGAGATTCGAGTCCGATGGGAATCTAAAATTGTTCACTATTATTAAAATAGAATCTTTTGTTCACTATTATAGAGTTGAGGTTAAAGTGAGAGTGATGCTCAACAAAATAAACTAGTTGTAACCTGTGTATTTCTGTGTATTTGCACATAAAACATTATGATAAAAAATAAATAATAAAAAATACAAACAATAATAAAAATTATAATTAATCATTAAAAAAATGTTTTAAAAAAAGAAAAATCTAAATATTATTAAATATGTTTTTTATATACAACGTCCATGGTTTTGCTATCGTCAGAAATCTCAATCACCACAAATTATTATTTTTGAACTCCTTTGACTCGTAAAGATGACCCAAAATTTAAAACGGCTCAATTAGCTCATTAGACTTAAAAGTTTGAACAACAAACATTAAGATTTTTTTAAATCAAATGGCCTGACATGTATGATTGGCCCAACTAAACATTTGACCAAGCTTTGTTTTATTATATGATCATAGTGTGCGTAAGAGTATGGTTGAAATTTTTATTTTATATTTTAACTCAAATTGCCCAAAATATTGGCCCAATGCTTTTTTTCTTAAATGGTCAGAGTGCATGTGGAACATTCAAGAAACTTGTCGGAGGGAGGAGGGGGATTTAAGGAGAAAACCCTAGCCCGAGACAATGACACCGCATAACCAATTAGACTCCTTCCAAAATTTTCTCTTCCCACAGATCGGAGAAGAAAACTCGATTATTTCTCCTTATTTCATCATATCACTTTCGAAATAATAGAAAGTCGGTGAAATAGGTCGATACATCTCGATAAATTTGTTAAATTCTCTCTTTTTTTGTGTTTCTGCTTTCTAACATATAGAAGGTACAATAGGGTGATATATATCGGCACAACATATTTTTATTTTTTTTTTCAATTTTATTGTTATTTTTTTATGTAAATATGCAAAGAATATGTTTATTTAGTGTAATTTCTAAATTTGTTTTCAAATCATTTTTTAAATTATTTTGTTAGCAAAATATTTAGTGTAGTTTGAAAATAATATGTGCAACATTTTTAGTCTCAATTTAAAACTTTAACTGATTTTTTTTTTTTTTTTTT